CAGTGGGAGGTTGTCGGTTGGGTCTCTGTTCCCATCAGACTCTGAGAGTTACTTCCAGGTGTCCTTTCATGCTACAGCCATGAAGGAAATGAACATAGACATGGGCACACTGTCTACAAAACTCTGGGAGTCAGAAAAGGGGGTGGGAAAGGGAGTGGCACTGGGGGAGGCTTGGCAGAGAGGCATAAAGTGAAGCCACAGAGGAAGACACGGGCCTTTGCAGCCCCTCACTGGATCAGCAGAGAGTTTCAGGAGACAATGTCATCCTGGTCCGTGGGCTTAAAGCACCACTCAGACTACTGCATATTGCGGAGATTCGAGGGGTTCAAGGGAGAGCAGGGAGATGAGTTAGGGGCAGCCCAATTCTCTAGTGAGAGATGAGGGTGGACCGGAGCTGTAACAGTGGAGAGAAAATCAAAAAACCTGCACAATTATCTGCATCCCAAGAAAGAAAAAACCATCGAGGAGCATGGCTGTGAAACTCAGAAGACCAAGTAATAAAGGTAATAAAGGTAGTAAAATGAGAAGCCTGGAGGAAGAATGAATTTGGGCCACATTTTAGTGTGGTAGACCCTGATTAGGTGCTAGGGCATCACCCAGGGACACTGAAGCCTGGGGGGATATGAGTCAATGCTGTGAGGGGAAAGCTGTTGAGATGAATAGAGTACAGGTGAAGGGCCATGTAAGCAAAGATCAGAAACTAGAACATGCAGACTCTAATTCTGTGTTTTAGAAAGGATTAGGCTGAAAGCTGCAGAAATCCAAAATAGTATTGCCTTCATCAAGTTAATTTATTTTCCTTCCTCACATTGATGAAATCTAAAGGTAAGCAGTATGGGGCTGGTTGGTATATCACTTCTAAGATGATCAGGGTCCTATCACTTCTAAGATGATCAGGGTCCAGGTTTCTGTTGGTATCTGTTTCTGCTCCATTCAACACAGAGCACCAACCTCGGGCTACAAAGTGGCTGCTCTGGCTCCAGTCCTCACATCTTTATTCTAGCCAGAGGAAGGGTAAAAAGGACTCAAAAGGACAGGCTTGCTCTTTGCAAAACTACTTCTCAAGCTACACACCCATTCTCTTCCTATAACCCTCTGGCCAGCACCTTGCCAAAGAACCCAGTCTGGACACAGAGAAGCTGGAAGACAGGGCATTCACTGCAGCCAGCCCATCACATGGGTATCCAATGAGATGCCCAGTTACCAACGGGAGGAAGAGAAGTAACTTATGATAGCCATTCACCAATTAGACATCATTATCATCTCTTTAAGTAGCGTATCTGTCAAATAATGAAAATATTCAGACAAAGCAAACACCCTGTGTAGAAGATTCTTCTCCCAGATAATCATGTTCCTCGTTCCCTCACGATCTAGAATTCATTATTATTATTTCTGCTTCAGCCCCTGTGACATAGCACACACTCTGAAGAGTGATTTCCATACATGTGGCATGAGGAAGCCAAGCAGCCTTCTAAGAGGGGTGTTCCCACTGCTCTGCCCGCCCAGCTCACAGGTGAGGGATTAGAGACTGACATGGGTGGAATCAGTTGCCTGAACCAGCTGGAGTGCTCAGTGCCGGCCTGGCAGAGATGGCCCTTCCTTCCTACCTCCTTCACAGGAGGAGAGGGACGTGGTCACCAGAAAGGACCACCATGACTTCTCCAAGGACAGTGAATGGGAGAACTTCAGGCGAACCCTGCAGTCCTCTGTGGGGTGCAGAACGAACCCAGAATTTCAGCATATCCACGTTTCACAGTAACCAGTGTAGCCAGAGCAGAGGTCACTTTCAGAGTGACCCTCTAGGTTAGCAGAGGAAGGGAAAGATAAAAGAGTAGCTTTGGGAAGAGAAGGAGGAATTTAGTGAGTGACATTCTTACCTGCAGAATGCTGGGAAATTGCAGTAGAAGCCAGAGGACTTTAAGAAATGTCAGGCTGCCCTATGAGTTATAAATCCTGCAACGTGCAATTACCGGCTAGCTACCTTGGCCTCCGGGACTGTTTTTCTGGAAGAAGCACCACAGTGACACAAAACCTATGCTATACAGACCCTGAGATCTATTTGTGTTATATTTATACTTATCAAGTATATGAAAATTTACCATGAGCCTGAGACTAATGTTAGTAATAGTAAAATGAGGGGGAAATCCATATAAATCTTTGAGATGTTTTAGAACCATTGTTTCTTATGAAAAAGGATTCCTGAAGCAGTTACCAGTTTTCTTCCAAGAACCCACAGAGATTGCGCGTGCTCTGTCCTGGCAAGACAGCAGTAGCCAGACAAGAGTCCATAGTCCCTAAAGCATTTCAGGGGACCATAGAAATCGCCTAGACTTAGGCTGTTCCCAACACCATGCGTCTCAGAGTGGCGGGGGTGGGGGGGCTCTTAAACCATTTCAGCTCAATTTAGTAAATTTCTGTCAATTTTTATCAATTTAATAAATTGTATCCAACCAGAAGATGGGGTTCTGGGGCCAAAGGGGCTCTTCCATTTCATCCACGTATTTGTGGGCTATCTCCAGCCGTGGATGAGCATTTCCTACGGGTAGGATTTGTGTCAACTTTGCTCCTGGCTGGTCCCTGCATCCAAAACAGCGGCTGTGATGAGGAAGAACAGCTAATACCCTGCTAAATGCATCTGTTTCCCCTTGCAGCTCCTAATGCCTCTGTTGGAATGCTCCTTGCTTTTTAGTTTAACCCTTAGGTAACACTGGCTCAGAAACTCAGGGTGAAAAATCCAGTTGGATATAGAGGCCCCTGGAGAAGATATGATAAGCAATAAAAGATTGCATTTCCTAACTTTTCACGTTTTATTCATAAACGTTTCCAAATACATACTGTATGCCAGGCACTGTGTTAGGGCCCTGGACCTGCAGATCCTTTCTCTGATGACAATAATGGGCTTGAATAGAGCATGCCTAGTATTAGTCTTGGCCACTAGTAATTATTATGATCCGGTGCTATGTTCCAGACATTGTTACATGCGCTTTCCTGGTTGTGCTCTGTTGACAGGCAGTGTTACATCAGGCCCATTTTAAGGAAGCACAAGCTGAGGCCAGAAAGGTGAGGAAATTTGTCCACAGTGCACAGCTGGCTAGTAGTGGTGGAGACTGGGTTTCGGTTCCTGCAGCGGGCCCTCTGCCTGAGCTCAGGCACGCTAATGGCTCCTGAGCACTTCCTGAAAGGTGATCCTGAGCTTCCTGGCCTCCCGTCACCAAGGATATCGGATAAAAATACAGATCCCCTCGCCTGGCGCTGAAGGATCAGAATTATCAGAAAGGGGGGCTCTCCAGTTTTTAACATTAACCTGGGTGTTTGCAGGGGATGCTAGATTGTAAAGGACAGCTAGATTGTAAAGCTACTCCCAAGAGCCTCTCCTTGTGAGTCTAACAATCTCTAGCACCCTATATCCCCCCACATGGCCCCTCCCTTCCAGCTCACCTTTAACAGAATAGAATTGAGGGAGGAGCAGGAAAGTCAGGGAGGGGAAAGAGGAGGCAGGGAGGGAATAGCAAGCCCCAAATCAGGCCCCTCATCAGTCCAGGAGGGCAAACACCAAGCCAGGACCCCTGTTCTTGACCCAGGGGCAGGACCTTCCCCCAAGCCTCCTGGTGAAGCAGCTGCTGCTGCCCACCCGCCACCCCCAGTGGATGTCTCAGAGCCTCAAACATGAGCTGTTCCGAGGTTTCAAAGAAAGGAGGAAGCAGTCTTTGCAAACCACACCCTAAGCCTCCACAGTAAAGCATCACCTGTGTCCGGCAGGGACTCAGCAAAGTCAGAGAATGTAGCTCCGTAAGCGGAGAGCGTGGTCAGTTTACCTGCCCCGGAGTATCCAGCAAGTAGGCCAGTCAAGCCAGGCAGTGTTTCAGAAACAGGGCCCACTGCTCTCACCTGCTTTCCCAAGGGTCTGAGCTGAAGACAAAATCTGTACATGAAGGATTTTCAAGCATCACTGAGTTTCACAGAAAGCCCAGACCCTCCTCTAATCTTCCCTTCCACTGTTTGTCCCTCACTTCCACACACTCCTACCTATTCCTCAAGAAGGCCAATCTGGGCCCTCCCTGGTGGCGCAGCGGGTTAAAGCACAGCACTGAGAAGCTAAAGCCACTTCAGCATGATTTCGGTCCCCACCCTGGAGGTGACCACCTGGAGCAGCAGACCTCTCCTGACCCGCCCGCTGCTCCCCTCAGCAGTGTACTTCATCAATCTGCCTGTTCTGCTCCCCACTCTGTCTCTGGTGAAGACTCTCACTGCCCCTGCACCTCTGGCCTGTACCCCAGTTCTGTATGCATAAATAAATAAATCTTTAAAAAAAAAAAAAAAAGGCCGATCTGATTCCCACCCCAGGGCCCTTGTACCAGCTGTGGCCTCTGTTCTTCCTGTATATATTTCCCCAAATCATTACAACTTTCTCCTCCTCTTCCAGATCTCAGATCACAGTCCCCTCCGCCAAGAAGCCTTCCCTGACTACCCCATTGAGCAGCCCCAATCCGGTCCTCCCCATCACGCATCTCTGTTTCTTTTTCTTCATGGAGTTTGGCACTGACATGACCTTGCTCTTATTTGTTTGGGTTTAGCTGGACACTCAATGAATGCCCACCCGATGAATGGACAGAGGAAGAAAATGAACGGGTGGAAAATCGAATGAACATTTATATGTAATAAGGATCCAGGCACGGAGATTCAAGTCTCCCCTGTCCTTTCAGATAACCAGGGCAGAGACCACAAGAAATAACTCTGTGGTTGGTAACAACTTAACAACCTGGCGGCACTTAGATCCACACACATTGCTGGGCTCGGGTCCAACGCTAAAAAGGCACTAATTGCTTTTATATAAGGAGGTAGCAACACAGTCCCCCCCTGTCCTCTGGTCCTCCCAGTCTGCATTATCATATCTGTTACCGTGTTAATTGTTCCTGTCTCTCACAGCCAGTGTGAGCTCTGTGCTGCGGATGCCTGGGCTGGTGAGTTTCCATAGAGGAGAGGTACCGGGAAGCAAGTGTTTGGTGTCCGAGTGCGTGTGTGTCCACGCGTGTGCACGTGTGTGCGCGAGCAGCGAGTCTCTGGGAAGGGTTAACTCCAGCTCGGCTGTCCTGCTCAGGGCCCCAGCGGCCAGGATGGGAGGGGTGGGCCTCGGTGGGGCGGGCTGGGCTTGCCTTCTGACAGGAGTGTTTGCCGAGCAGAACTGAGCGTGGAGAAGTCAAGATGCCTTTAGGAATGGCCGCCAAAGCCCCCACCTGGCAGTCCCTCCCCCCTGTCCCCCTCGGCAGGTGGCCTCCTGGAGACTGTCATTAGAGGAATGAGCCGGGAGTGAACGTCAGCGCACCCACACTTGGGGGGACGCAGCAGACCAGGATGGACGTGGTCGACAGCCTTCTTGGGAATGGAAGCTACATCTCTCCTCCCTGCGACCTCCGGGTGGAAAACGACACGCTTTTCTGCTTGGATCGGCCCCTTCCTTCCAAAGGTAGGTGTCGGAGCCTGTTAGTTCAGTTCCCAAAACTACTAAGTAGAGGGACATCAGCCAAGGCAAAGGTAAAGAAAATAGTGTCTTGGTGAGACACAGCTGGAAAAGCGCCCTATTCAGAAGTTTGGATCAGCGCCCCAAGAGCAGACAGAGCGGAGTCGGATCTTCCGACCCTTCCCTGGGGCGTAGGGGGCTGGGGTGAATGCATGGGGGGGCGCTGAAGTGGAACGACCAGGGTGAACAAGTGTCAGAGCTGGAACTTACAAGCTTTACAGAAAAGGTGCTGTCACTAGCTAGCCACTGCCTTTTCTAGGGGGCAGTCCAGCGTGAAGAAATGTGTAAAGCAAAATACCACTTAGCAGCTAGGAAAGAAGGCAATTGCTATTCACTTGAGAAGCTTTGTTCTTAAGCAACAGTGGTTCTCCCAGAGAGCCTGTAACAAATTAACCTTTGAGAAACAATTGAACCACTCTGTGCTGTCCTCAGTTTCTGCTAAAAATTATTCGCCCTGGCATAGTAGGGCTGCATGATATGCATCCCTGCAAAAAAAAAAAAAAAAAGGAATAACCTTTTGCTTCACGTGCTGAGGTTTTAACATTCTGTTCTCATAACCATCTCCTCCCTGTCACTCTGTAGAGTGGCAGCCGGCTGTGCAAATTCTCTTGTACTCCTTGATATTCCTGCTCAGCGTGCTGGGGAACACGCTGGTCATTACGGTACTGATTCGGAACAAGAGGATGAGGACGGTCACCAACATCTTCCTGCTCTCCCTGGCTGTCAGCGATCTCATGCTCTGCCTCTTCTGCATGCCTTTCAACCTCATCCCCAACCTGCTCAAGGATTTCATCTTCGGGAGTGCCGTTTGCAAGACCACCACCTACTTCATGGGTGAGCTGCTGCTGGTGACTTGCCCCAGCCCCCACTGAGCCCGAGATCTTCCCAAAGCCCTGACTGATCCGCGCACGTGTACGTAAGGAGACACCTGGCTGTGTGGGCTCTGTGCCAGGACACAGTGCTGGTCTTACGGGGATTCGTCCTCCTCAGCCTTAGATCACCCCCTCTGCAGATTTCAGGGGTCGCTTTCTCAAAGTGGAGTAAGTTGGTGGAAAACCACAGAAGAGACCGGTCCCTCTTACTTCTGTTAGAAAGAGGGACTTCAGCTGCTCTGCCCCTTTCTGGAAGCCATTGATTTATGCTGAGCTCTGCCCAACCCCACTTCACTTCTGCATGTGTGAAGGGTAGAGGAGGGGTTTCTTTATTATTGCTCTTGCTTTCCTAAGGCGCAGGGGTTATTTGAAAACTAGTTTCATTGTAAATGTAGATCCTCCTCTCAGAATTCCCTGTTGCCCCAAGAACTGGGGCCACCTCAGGCAGTGAGACAGACAGACAGACACAGAGACAGACAGAGACAGAGTGGGAGGTCTGCCCTAGACAAGGAGACTAATTTGCTCCTGGAGCCTGAGGAGTCACTAAACTGGCCTTGATAGGCTGAGCTATGCATCTCTCTGCTTTTCTCACTTAACGTGATGGTGAAAATAATTTTTAAAAAAATCACAGCAGCTAATATATGTTAGTACTTTGTAGGCACCAGATATTGTAACAAGTGCTTTTACTTCTAATGATCTTATTTCCCAACCAACCTAAAAAGGAAAGACATTTGTTCTCCCTCTCCCTGAGGAGGGCACAGAGGCACAGAGAGGTTCATCACATCCCAAGGGACACACAGGCAGCAACCCCAGAGCAGAGAGCCGAACCCGGGTGACAGCCACCACCGTGGGCAGCGAGGCCATGGCTGTCCTCAGCCAACAAAGACGTGGCTCTGGGTCCCCTCTGTTGGCCAAGTCGCCTTGTCCTTTGCCCATTCTGAGAACTAGACAAGCGGAGGAGAGGCGGGAAACGAGGGGGGAGCTCTTTTTTGTTCTGACCTAAGCCTGGCAAAGCACGCAGCGCTGCCTGGCTGAGGCAGTCTGAAGTGCCTGGAAAGTTTTAAAAGCCTTTATTTCTACCAACTGAGGAAGCCGGACCCAGCTCTGGCAAAATGATGATGAACTGCTGATCGGCAAGCCATGGACAATTAACTAAGGAAGTGTGGCTCTGTGTCCAAGCCCTCCGAAAATAATAACAGGACTTAAGTGAACAGGACCAGTGTTAAAGAATGAAGCCGTAGCAACAGCTGGCAGTACCCAGCGCTCCAGGCTGTCTAGGTCCCTCCAGATGCGGGTATATGGCACCAGAACTACACTAGATGAACATACACGCATGCACACACGTGCACGCTCACACACACACACAAATACAGGTGCAATATTTTTTTCAGAATCTTACCCAGAGTATGTGAAAATTTTTCAATGAATACCTTTGTCGTCGTGCCACATGAGGTTTGTTTTGTACCAAAGACCGCAGAACTGGTGACTTCAAAGTGATTAATTTTATGTCACGTCACTTTCACCTCAATAAAAAAAGTTTAGAAGATAGTCGAGATGAAGAGCCAGCTAATACCCAGTGTGTTTGCCACTCCACCATGACTTTGTGGGCTCTGTGTCAGTCAGTTCCGTACGCGTCTCAATACGGTCAGTAACAGCTAAGATGTATTCCGCTGCTGGCAGGCAGTAACAGGGAACCAAGCAGGTGGCTCGTCTGAAGGCGGCTGCTCCTCACCGTGGCCCACGATCCCGACTGGACTCCAAGCGGGAGCTGTGCTCCCCAACTTAAATGTCATCACTCTTTGGGGTCACGTCCCATAAATCCCAGCAAATTCTATCCCAGAACAGGTTTTTATTTAATAATTGGGAGAGGTGCATCATATTTTCTTTTAATGAATTAAAATTAGAATGCTTCTGTAGGTGGGATAGGAATAGACGTCATCCTCTTGGTTGTAAATTAGGAAGCAGCAAAATAGTTATAGTCAAAGGTCAGTAAGCTTATCTAAACATCGGCTTGGAGATATATCGCAAATACCTCTCTAACTAACTAAATTCCTTTGAGAACACACACACATATGTCCATATGTGTATACATATCCATGCACATTATTTCTTTACCCTCTGAGCATTTTCCTTTGATAGCAAAGCAAATCAGAAGCTGGTATGCAGACACTGGGATTTCTGAGCCAACCTAACTGCTGTTCTCTGTTCCTTTCCCAGGCACCTCCGTGAGTGTATCCACCTTTAATCTGGTGGCCATCTCTCTGGAAAGATACGGTGCCATTTGCAAGCCCTTACAGTCCCGGGTCTGGCAGACCAAATCCCATGCTCTGAAAGTGATTGCAGGTACCTGGTGCCTCTCCTTCACCTTGATGACACCATACCCAATTTATAGCGAGTTGGTGCCTTTTACCAAAAATAACAACCAGACAGCTAACATGTGTCGCTTTCTGCTGCCCAATGCGGTGATGCAGCAATCCTGGTAAGTTGCATAGTTTGATGTAAGCTAATTTTACAGTTTGGGTAACAATAGAAATGAATTGTCCAGGGTGGCCGGGATTCAGTTTCCTAGAGGCTTTTCGAGGAAAAAGCCTCTTTCTAACCTCTTTCTCGGGTCCCAGTGAGAGGTGACACTTAAGAGTGCTCTATTTTTGTTTTCTCTTACTTTAATTGAGTTAATGCTTTGTTAATGCATTGTTGCTTGTATTTTGGGAGTATCTGGTCTCCTCCCCACTCCTCACTTCAAGTATTATTACCACAGAACATCACACCAAGCACCTGCGGCTCCCTCCTTCCTAGTTCTTCCCCTTCCCCTCTAAGTAACACCATCTGGTATTTGTCTTTCTCCTCTTATTTTGCTTATCAGAATCCCTCCCCTCAGGTCTCAAATGCCATGAGTGTATCTTTTTGTTGACTGAGTAGTATTCCATTGCATCTATGCACCACATCTTCTTGATCCACTCATCCTTTCCTGGAGCATTTAAGTTTCCATAACTTGACTATTGGAAACAGAGCTTTGTGAACCTGGGAAGGCAAATTTCCTTTCAAATCAGTGTTTTTGTATTCTTTGAGTAGATACCTCCCACCTCCCCCACTCCCCCACACCGCTGGTCTGTGCCCCAGTTTTTGTGTGCATAAATAAATAAAACAGATCTTAAAAAAAAAAGATGTCAGCTCAGGTATTATATTTACTAATTCCACCAATTTTTAGAAGGAAAACAGACATTCAAAAAATGGCTCAAAACAGAGACAATTCATGCTTCTTTCCCTCCCTCTTTTAATTTTAACCAAGGAGTATGTACACACACATGTCCATACACACACACTCACACACAAAGAGTTATGTGGCAAATGAGAAGGATTATTTCCAAGACTTTGAAAGGAATCTTATCAAAATATGTCCAATTGAATGAGAAATGGCCCAGCCTCTATGAACCTCTGACAATTTTATGGCCTAATCAAGTAACCTTACACATGCCAGACTGCAAGAGTGATTTAAGGCCCAGATCCATAGAGGAGGAGGCTGTGATTCTTCAGGAATCAAATGTGTTTAGAGGAAGCATAGCTCTGTCCCTCCGGGCACTAGAATAAGCATGCACTATGCCAAGGCCAAAGAATCGAATGCCAGACTTCGCAAAACCAAGGTTTCCATCACTCCTACTTATGCATTTGATTCTTCTGTTGGTAAAAAGTCAGCAAGTGGTATGTTGTATGCTTAAGAGTATAGGTTGTAGAATCATATTTCTTGAATTAAATCCCAAATCTACCATTAGCTGTGTGGCTCTGGACAAATTATTTAACCTCTTTAAGTCTCAGTTTTCTCATTTGAAAAATAGGTATTAGGATAATAGCACCGACCTCAAAAGCTACTATGGAAGTTAAATACATGTAAGTATATAAGTAAGCTAAAGATAATAAGGCTAAGTATTTACACACTAGGCTAAGCATTAGCATACCTTTTTATATATGATTTTGTTTTATATATTATAGCAACTATAAGTTTATGTGCACACACACACACACACACACAATATTTAGCCTAATGCCCCCAGTGGATGTCACCTATTATAATTTCTGTTTGGGAACACTTTTATTGCTATCTAACCCTCATGCTCTCACTGCTTTAAGTTCTCGCTAGTTTTATATGCAGACTAATTTCAACCACAGAATTACCCAGACTTTTCCAGTTTAACTAGTCTCTCCTAAGAGACTATCTGAAAAGAAGTAAACAACTGTGATGACTGAATCTCCAGACATGGAATTGCCAAGGATATTAACTACTTGTAATGAATGTGTTTGCTCAGACCAGTTTAAATGGAGATGAATCCTATTTACCCATCCCATCTGAGTTTGAAATACTGGTGGGGCTGGTTATTGAATTTCTTTTCATTTTATTAGGCACACATTCCTGTTACTCATCCTCTTTCTGATTCCTGGAATCGTGATGATGGTGGCCTATGGGTTAATCTCATTGGAACTTTACCAAGGAATAAAATTTGATGCTAACCAGAAGTCTGCTAGAGGTAACTATCCTTGAGCGGTATATTGATGCCAAAAGATCACACATCTGGTTTTCTGTGACTTAAATAGATACATCCGGAGGGTATATAGCATAGACTGGAGATTTTCAAAAGTATTCTTAGGAGATTCTGTGTTTTAAGACACAGTTATGGGACCTAGCGTCTCTATTTTCGCATCTGTAAAATAGAGAAATCATTCTTCTCCCAAAGGTGCTGGGAGGAGTGAGATTATACACATATAACCTGGTTGTCAGCTGAGGGTCTGTGTGATCCAGACTCACTGTAATGCTGCAGGCAGACAGACCTCCCGCCCCCAGCAACACACTTATTTCATCCTTTCCACACCCCTTCTTTTCCATGCGGCAGTTACCACAGGCTTGACCCTTTCCCCATTCATTACAACCCAACGCCCACTCCTCTCTAGCAGTAAAATACACTACACCTTTGTTAGTACAGCTTTCCCCCTCAACCCCCGCCCCCCTCAGCTCTTTATCTTGGTTTTTGTTGACTGTTCATTATTCAACAGCAGCATTCTGGAGCCTTGCTACGCATGTGGAAGCTTTCTCCCAAGGAGCTGAGAAAAACAGTGTGAATATCCATTCCTCACTCACTGTTATCCTTATAATCTACACACTTACGCTTATTTCACATTACGCCACATGTGCATCTCTCATACCTTCTATTCTTTTTTTTTTTTTAATATTTATTTGTGCATGCAGAACTAGGGTACAGGCCAGAGGTGCAGGGGTGGTGAGAGGCTTCACCAGAGACAGAGTGGGGAGCAGAACAGGC